GAAAAGAAGTGTTGGGACCATTGCCACTTTACGGGACAGTATAGAGGTTGCGCCCACGAGGACTGCAATCTACGATTTAGTATGAGATATTATAAAATCCCTGTGTTTCTTCATAACCTTAAAAACTATGATGCCCACTTAATCATCAACAAGGCTCACGAACTGAACAAGAATTCTAAAATAGAATGTATCGCTCAGAACAGCGAAAAGTTTATAACCTTTGGTTTTAAAAATCTTTGTTTCAAGGACAGTTTCAGTTTCTTATCGTCTTCGTTGGATAAGTTGGTCAGGTTGAGTAAATATGAGGATGATAAAAAGCGTGAGAATTGGAAGAACAATTTCAGATACAGTGTTAGAAACCCGTATGTTAAAACCGATGCAGATTTGGATTTATTGACTGACAAGGGTATTTATCCTTATGACTACTTTGATGATTTTGAAAGATTTAAGGAAAGGGCTTTACCACCGAAAGAAGCGTTTTACAGTAAATTGAGTGAAGAACATGTAAGTGATAAAGATTATGAAAGGGCACTGAAAGTATGGAAGCACTTCGGGATTAGAACACTCGGGCAGTATCACGACTTGTATTTAAGAACTGATGTTTTACTACTGACCGATGTATTTGAAAACTTTAGAGACTTGTGTATGGAATACTACGGTTTAGACCCCGCTCATTATTACACATTGCCAAATTTCGCATGGGACGCGATGCTTCTAAAAACTGGTGTTGAAATAGAACAATTGCATGACCAAGAAATGTTTGAGATGGTTGAAAAGGGAATGAGAGGAGGAATGTGTCAGGTAAGTCATAAATTAGCAGTGGCAAATAATAAGTATATGGGGGAAGCATATGATGAGAACAAGCCATCAAATTATATTAGCTACTTGGATGCTAATAACTTGTATGGTTTAGCAATGTCCCAGAAATTACCGCTAAAAAATATCAAGTGGGCAAAGAAAACGCCCATTGTTGAAAAATGGAATGAAAACGATGAGTTCGGTTATATTATGGAAGTTGATTTGGAATATCCCGAAACATTGCACGACTTCCACTCTGACTATCCACTAGCGCCTGAAATAATGAATGTAAATGTTAATATGCTTTCCGACTATCAAAAGCAAGTCTTCAAAATATATTATGACGGTAAAAGTCCCAAGGACGAGAAAACAAGTAAGTTAATATTAAATCTAAAGGATAAAGAAAAATATGTGGTTCATATCAAGACTTTACAGTATTATTTGAAAATGGGAATGAAAATGGGTAAAGTCCATAGGATACTAAAATTTCAACAAAGGGCATGGTTGAAACCGTGGATTGATTTTAACACTGGTAAAAGGAAAGAAGCCAAAAGCGATTTTGAGAAAGATTTATTCAAATTAATGAATAACGCGGTGTACGGAAAAACTATGGAAGACAAGCGAAACCATATGGACTTTGAACTGGTGGATAATGAAGTTAGATATGAAAAATGTGTGAATAACCCAACATTCAAAAACAGATTTATTATAAATGAAAATCTGGTAGGAGTTGAAAAAACTAAAGCGAAACTGAAACTGGATAAACCGATTTTCTTAGGAATGAGCATTTTAGATTTAAGCAAATTACATATGTATCAGTTTTATTATGATGTATTGAAAAAGAAGTATAATGAAAACATCAAACTGATATATACTGATACTGACAGTTATGTAATTCAAACAATGACTGATGATGTCTATAAGGATTTCAATGATATAAAGCAACACATGGATTTTAGCGACTATCCTGTTGAGCATCCATGTCATGACAAAACTAATAAAAAGGTCTTAGGAATGTTTAAGGACGAAGTGAATGGAAAAATCATTACTAAATTCATTGGATTAAAACCTAAATCATATGCCTTCACAATTCACGGTGAGGATGATGAACATAAGAAATCAAAAGGTGTAGTGAAACACAAAGTTAAAAAAGAACTGTCGTATCAGAACTACCACGAAGCATTATTTCAAAACAAAAAGCATGAAATCACATATAACTTCATCAGAAGTAAGTCGCATCAAATATATTCAATGTCTCAAGTAAAGCAATCTCTCAGTAATTATGAAAATAAAAGGTTTTATAGTGATGCTTTCACTTCATTACCATATGGGCATTACAGCATTAGGTAAAATGATACGTCCCCAAAAGGGGTGTTTGGGGACATATCATTTGAGGACGGTTTGCGAAGAATTATTTTCAATAATTATCTAAATAGTTCTAATAATATGAAATTATTAGAATTATTTTCAGGGACAGGCTCGGGCTCTCAGGTTTGGTCGCAAATTTGAAAGTTCTTGATTTTCTCAACTCCGTTTTGGTGATTTTATGTTTCGTTATGTTTTTTAATTTTGATGGATTTCATGGGGAAAAACAAGGGTTTTGAAAAACAAGAAAAGGACCAAATAACCGAACATTTACAAACAAATGGGTTTGGGAGAGACCTCAAAATAAAAAAAATCGCGAGAGTTTCGCCTTGTTTTATAGTTTGTTTGTTTTTTTTTTGTTTTTTTTTTGTATTTATACTGGTTTGTATATGGTTTTATTAGGATTGTTATTATCCCGTACCCGAGAAACCCGCCTAAGATGTGAATGAGGTCGGACCTTCTGACAAGCGGGATGGATGCGGGGTCGGTAGGGTTGGTAGGGTTGGTAGGGTTGGTAGGGTTGGTAGGGTTGGTAGGGTTGGTAGGGTTGTTGGGGTTCAACAGGGAAAAAAAAAAGAGACAACGTTAGTTGAAACAGGAGCTTTTTTATTTTTTTTTTCCTCCCCTTTTTCCTTTCCCACCAGTCCGCCAGGCCTTGCAGGGTTCAGTCTTGTAGCAGGTTCGCATGATGACTTCTCAACCTCAGACGGGCCCGCAAAAGTGGTAGTAGCCTACCTACAAAACTGGCGGTAGCCTACCTACAAAACTGGCGGTAGCCTACCTACAAAACTGGCGGTAGCCTACCCACAAAAGTGGCGGTAGCCTACCCGCAAAAGTGGCAGTAGCCTACCCGCAAAAGTGGCAGTAGCCTACCTTCAAACGAAGTCCTGTCTCACCTTTCCCACGCACACACACCCTGTTGTTCACTTTTTTTCACATGCCGTCCAATGTCAAAGCCGACAAATCTGTCCCTACGACATGGCACAACTGGAGGCATTACCATCTCCACCAACCTGCTCACTGGCTGGATTGTTTCTCATCTCACGCACCAACATCTCTTTCTCAATCTCTTTGACGAATGAAGCATGAGTGTATCGAACATCATTGCCGTGCTCCTCATGAAATTTGTTGATATACATGTTGACACTCATGACTGCTAGGTCTCTTTGAGTTGCCCTCATTGCCCTCATGCTCTCTTCTATGAGGTTCAAAGTCGGGAACATCATCACCATCGACTTCAAGATGCGTGTCTCAGAAGTGTCATCTCTGTTCCTCATAGGCCTCTCCATCAACTCCTTGATGGTCTGAAGCTTTTCCGTCTCCGTGCCTTTGATGGCCAAAGTGATGACACAGCGACCCTGAGACTGAATGAAGGCAACCTCGTCCATCTTCTGACGATGGGTTTCCAAGAAGGTTTTGATTTCAGGGGCGACGATGTTCACGTCAAAGACGAAGTCATCCTCGTCACTCTGTTTCTTGTTGACCCTACCGGTTCTGTTGATGAAGTCTCTGGCTTTGTCCTTCAACTTCTGAACCTTCTGCTCCTTCGTCAAGTGAGGACGCACAAGGCCACCGCCACCAATGCTCAGGAGCATCTGGAGAGTGTCCCCGTCTTCAATCTGGTTCTCTTTGAAGGTCAGCACCTTGTTGATGGGGTCGTCCTTGTTGTTCACATACCTCTGAAACTTCGGCTTGATGCCCCACTTATCGGCAATGATGTAGGAGAGATGCTTCACCTGCCACTTCTCACACACATGGAAGACACCCTGACGCCTCTCATCAAAGCCACACTTCACATTCACCACCATGCGCTTTTTCTCCATGGACGTGAAAGGGTCATCAAAGTCGTCGGGGTCGTCCGAGTCATCACTGCTGTCGCCCTCATCCTCTGAAGGACGCTGTTCATCACCTTCACCGCCTTGGCTTCCCAAAGCAGTTGCGGATGATGATGAAGGTCCAACTTGAATGACGATGTCTGACCCCTGCTTCCTCAACTCCTCCACCAGTTTGTTGTTGAGCACCCGAAGTTCTCTGTTTTCCCTATTCACTCTTTGAGTCCAGTGCTCCTTCTTCGTCTGCTTCAAGTCGACTGCGCCATCAGCAGACGACATGATGAGAGGCTTCAGTCAGGAAACAACTATGACAAAACCACTGATTGATAAAACAGCGGGGACAAAGGCTTTCAAGCTACAAAACAGCAACGTATCAAGAACCTTGTCTCAAACTGACAATCATATGGTCCATGATTTTTCTCTGCATCCTGAACTTGCTCTATGCTGTTGCAAGTCTCATTCAGGGAGTCTATACATGAAGGTCAGTCAATCCAGTCAAACATCTCAAGGACTGGCTGTTTCTCATGAACAGTTGGCACACTAGCCGGTTCACTGAACATGTCGCGGTGGTCTTTCAGAAACGTCATGTAGTCCAAGGCATACTGCTCTTCTTCGGAGAGACGCTCACGTCTGCCCAGCTTCACCATGATGAAGTCTACCACCGTCAGCACCGTTTGCTTCAGACATCCGAGGACGAAACGAAACATCGGAATGGGTTGATAACTAACAGTGTTCCAGAAATGGCTTGAAGTCAGAAAAAGGCAACGGTGAGAACACATGCCATCCTATGTCAAAGCAGAAAGTCAAGCGTCATTCAAACTGACGCGAACAGCTTTTGACTGCTCTCGGATGGGTCTGTGCCTGTGCATCGTTCAAAACCGACACTGTCAATCTATAGGGCTTACATCTCCAACACGGCTGTGGCATTTAGTTTAAACAAACACATGAGAGAAATCCAACCCTCGTTGCTCAGTGTCTTGTCTCATGTCTCATGGTGAGAAGAGCCTACTGCGTCTCATCATTCACTCCATCGACGTTGTCCTTCTTGGACTTCTTGCTCTTCTTTGTCTTGGGCTTTGGTGCAGGTGCCGCCGATGATGAAGCCGAAGCGGTTGCCCCCGTTGAGGAAGTCGAAGCGGTTGCCCCCGTTGTGGAAGCTGAAGCGGTTGAACCAGACTTCTCGACCACGTTGATGACGAGTGGAGCATTCTCTGTAGCCCCCCATGCCAGCAGTTCCGTCCTCGTTGCTCCCAATGTTGCCGTCATACTGGAAGAAGCGCCCTCCACTGTGAAAGTCAGCTTCTTGAAGGTCTTCTCGGAAGGGAACTCCTTGGGGAAGTTGAAGCGGAGAGCCTCCCTGATGCTCTTGTATGTTGCACGTCCTTTGAGTGAGAGTTCAAAGCGACGCCCATTGAACGAGATGGCCACCGTGTACATGCTTTTGCCTTTCTTTGCCTGTGTAGTCTCACCACCCTGCTCCTTCTTGACCTTAGCATCCCTGGCCTTCTTGATTAAGGTCTTGAGGCGCTCCTTCATCGCCTTCGTCGCCTTCAACTTGATAATCTCATTGTTGATATCCCTGGCCATGTCGTTGATGATGTTCTGGAGCTGTTCGGGGTTGCTGATGTTCTCAATCTTTGCCTTGAACTCGTCAGTGATAGGGTAGCGCTTCAAAATCTTTGACCACTCTGTGTCAGACAAGACAATGGTGATGGTATCATCTTGAAACTCGCCCTCCTCCTCGGCTTCCTCTGACTCCTCATCTTCTGAAGTCTGCTCTGGCACCCCCTCCGCAACTTCTGCTTCTTGAAGTTGCTCAGCAAGCTCACGGTCCACCTCCTCGCTGTTGTAGCCACCAACCGACATGATACTTGTGAGAAATGAGAGAGCAGGTGTCAGTCAGGAAAGACTAAGACTCTGAAAAGGAAATGGCGTCAAGTCAAACTGAAATCAGTAGATGGTCGCTCATGGAAGAGCACTTGTCTGACTGTCTGACTGATAACTGGGGCACCAGACAATTAGAAACGATGAAGATGTCATAGAGGTCAAAGCCGTGGCGCGACCAAAGCGACGGAGCGATGACCAAACCCGAAAAGATAGCCAACACCCCAGAACTTGATAACTACTAAAAGGGCTACCTCTTTCAAATGAAAAAAATGTTTGCCCCCAGCCCAACAATGAACAAGGCGACAATTTACCCAAATGATTACCTTAACGAAAACGATAAATAAGCTCCCCGAAAACCCTCTTTTAAAAACGAATAAGGGGGAACACAGATTTGAGATGAACATAAAAACCAGAACAGGCAACCATCAACAGGCCACCCCCCAGGCCCCCTACTTTTACCATTTTTTCCCCCTCCCCATGACAACGAGCCAAACTCAGTTAAAGATTCGCTCAGTCCGTCCTCTCACAAAGCAAATGCTCCTCTCCTCAAGCCAAGCGGTCGCCCAACGAGACCGGCACCCTGGCACCGCGATGAGCAAGTACACCGCACAGGCCGCTGCATAAGCCTCGAGGACCGAGGCGACATGGCAGACATGTAACCCGTCAACCCGTCCGTCGTCTGCGTCCCGGGATGAGTGGAGACACGCTTCTATGATTTTTCGTTTGTGCCATGGAGGAAGAAGAAACAAAGGCGCCGCACCCATCATTCCAATCTCTGCAAGCATCTGCTAAGACAGGCCAGCAGCACTAGTTTCAGGCAGCGAGGAAATTTCGCGGGCTCCTGTCGAGCGGGGGCTAGCGACTACTGCCCCACTTGTGCGCCGTCATATCTTCCATGAATGGAAAGCAAATCGTGATGTAGAGAACAAGGGGCCGAGCAGAGCTGCGCTGAAAGTATGACGAGTGCCAAGCGTGTAGGTCCTCCATCTGCTGGATCAGCCGTGGATAGAAGGAGTGGCCTGCACTCGGGGCCAAACCTCTGAAGCTGACCGAAAGCTCCCGCCTGCTGGGCTAAAAATCAGGATCCCCGCAGCTGCCAGCAGGCCGTGCCTCAAAAATTTCTGCAAGCCGCTTCACTCCACGCGGAGTCAGAGCCAGCGGGGAGCGGGGAGCGGGGCGCCGGCGGCTTCACCATCTGGATTTCAGATGTTGGAGCCTCAGCTCTCGAGATATCCTCAAGTGGCTTTGCTGTTTGCGCAATCTGATTGGAGAAATGATGACCATCCTGGCCAGTTTGAACTGGCCAGCTTCATCCACTTTGCGGAGTTCTATTGCAGTTATGGTCATACGGATCGTGCGAGTGCCAGAACCCGGTCTCAAACGGATACCCAAAACGTATCCGGAATCACGAGAGCGGCCGCATCCCATTGCCGCGCCTTCTTGGGCAGCATCAAGCCAGTGGCCAAGAACCTCGTGAGCGCCGCTTTGGGTGACTGGTAGTGTTCGGTGGCTTTCTGCTCCCCTGCGAAAAGTTGACCACTTTTGGTGGTTTAAGTTTGGTGGTTTAGTTGGCAAAAAGTTAAAGTCCTAACATCCAACCAAAATGCACCTCCGGTTTTGCACGCGTCGTTTCTATAAAAGATCCTTTGCAGTGAGGTCGGTTTGCTGCGAGCCTCTCTCGTTCCCTGAGCCTCTCACATCAGCGCGCTGGCGATGTAGACCAAATTCGACATAACCTGTGCAAGAATGCTTCAAGCAACTTATGAAACTGGGCCAAGTTGGCTTAGCTCAAAAGCTCAAGCCAAACACACCATACAGCGTGTCGCATCAAGAAAAGCAAAAAACACACTCGACCGGAGACTCCGTAACTAAGCACCGCACATTGACCTTCGTCAAGACCTTTGCTGGAACCTTGAACACTGGCTCGAGCAGAGCCAGCTTCCAAGTGACTCACATCCGGCTCGCAAAGAAAGAAAAGCAACACGTCGAGCCCTTGGAGGCCCACCCCCCTAGCAGAATCAAGAGAAAACCCCCCGAGAAGGGTCAAGAGAAGCCATGACTAGAGTGAGGCCCAGCTAGAGAATGTAGATTTTATGGTTTGCTTCACTTTGAGTCACTGGTAAAATGTAGAATGTATCCTAAGTCTACCCCAGAAGCCTACTCGAATCAGGGCAAGTGCGACTCTACAGTGCCATCCGACCTGGGCCCGACCAGAATCCTTCTTTCAAAGATCCAGTTGGAATGATGAACAATGATCGAAAGCACGGAGGCGCACCCGTCTCACCGAATCAATGCGTATGGGGGCTGTGCTGTCGTTTTATGGCCAGGTGTGTCTCTTTTGAGGCTGGAGCCCCCGAAATTGCAACGGGTGTCCTTTGCCTCTAATACCAAGCAACAAAGGGTACCAACTCCAAAAAAAGACACACCCATGGGTTTGTGGAATGCGTTCATGGGAACCCTTGATGAAGTTGCACTGACTGAGTTTGGCTTGCAACCAATAAAAACAACAAACCCAAAAACTCATCCAAAAAATAACTTTTACTTTTTAGGGGGACCCCCCGAAAATGACGGTTTCCAAAAAGGCCCACCAACTCCAAAAAAAAACAACTTAACCCCCCCCCCCCAAACGCATTCATTCTCCACTCCACTGGCCCGTCCAACCGGGGCCCGGGCGAAGGTCAGCAGCGCCGCGCCGGACACGCTGAGCGCCACCGCCGGGGCTGTGGCCAAACCCAGCTGCGACACATTCATCGAGGCGCAAACCTCGGTGGCCATTTGGCTGTGGGTCAAAAGTAGGGCAACCCAAAACGGAACCCTGGTAGATGGAAACATAAAAGCTGCGGTCCCCTGCTGGTTCGATTTTGACCCATACCCATTTGGGACATCGGCGCATCGGGAAAAAAGTGAGTTTTAGGCCAGTTGGGACTCATCTGTATATATGAGTCACCGTCAAAAATACTTGTCTGGGGTGTATTCATTCCGATGTTAGGACGTGCCGTATCGTTTTCAGGCTTTTCTCTCAGGTTTGGGGGGTATCGTTTTTTTGGACGTCCCGTATCGTGTCTCGAGAAAAAAACAAATGAGAAAAAATGGAAACAAAAAACAAAAACATGTGCATGAAACACTCCTACATAAAGTAAATGACAGTAATGTTGAAGCCGACTCATATAGTGTTGGGCAAACGTTTGGGTTGCATCTGCAATATCAACGATTTACTGTAGTGAGGGGGTGTCATGATTATAGATGACCTTTTGGAAAAGATGTGTTTGCAATATGGTTGTGTTTTAATTTTGAGGGAACCCGTTCAGGTTGATATCTGCAATACTGTGGATGGACGTAATCCCCTGAGAAACCATCTAAGAAACCTGGCTTTAGGAACAATGGCTTCCAATGGTTTCAAGTGGTGCAGGATTGCTGATTCACCACCAAAACCGGGGGATGACCAGGTGGAACAAAGACTTGGGGTTGATCAAAAGGTCCTTTCCATGGGATGCTCATTGGGAAAAACCGTTATAACATGAGGGTCATTTGGGGGCCAACCCCCATTTGGGTGCTTCCATTCTGCCATTTCTGTTCTTCATTTTTGTGAGTTGTTGCACCTTGTTGATCATGTTCAGGAACCCGATTTATGCGATTCAGCTTTGCGCATCTTGCGATTGATTGCAGTTGTCTGCTATTCTGTGCCATTTGTCCTCTTGTCTGGTAGTTTGCAGCCATAAACTAAACAGGGAGTCCTGGAGTAGGGGTGTTCCAGTGTCTGTGCCCTACTCGCAATTAATTTTGGCTTGAGGGGTCTTTAAGGGGTGGGGCGTTCCCGAAAAACCCCACCCGACAAAACTTCAAAAATCATGCTAAACTCACCGAGGATCAACTAATTCACTTAGGGGTATGGGAAAGCGACCATTTTGGGATCTCCCTGTTTCGAGACATACCTGTTTGTCTCTAAAGTATTACGGCACAGTTCGCAGGAGAAACATGGGAGGTTCGCCCTTGAAATGCGCCCTCCTTCCATAAAATACCAAGGGGGTTGAGTCAAACTTAGCATTCAGGAGCACTTCCCTTGAAGACTGACAGGGACAAATAAACAAATCGCCAATAAATGGATGCGGTAATCAAGAAGCCTCCCCAACAACTGAAGAATCAAAGATTAAAGGGACAAACACCATTCTGCAACCATTTGTGGATTGGACCCCTTCTGAGTTGTCTTCATGTACCCAGATTCGATTGATACAAAGGCGCTCGTTTAGTGACGAAGTACACATATGAACTGGAAGCCCACGAGCTAGTATCACGGGAAAGTGCCCCATTTCCCACATTTCTCACATCTTCGCCTGCAACGAAAGGGCCCAAGCCTTCTGCCCAAGCGGAAAACTAGCAGGATGCCACATGGAGGGTGTCCTTTCCCCCTTTTTGAACAAAAAACTAATGCGTCTCGGAGAAACGAAGCATTGGGAGCAGAGGTGTCCTTTTAGGGCAAATAGATGGCCCTGGTGGATGTTTCCACCAAAACAATCAAAAAGGACACCTATGATTGGGAGGCGCCAATGCTAACTTTGGACAAGTCATGCAACAAGAAAGCCAAACCAGCAAAGAAGACGCGCAGTGGGCAAAGGATGGGCCAAGCATCTCAACCCGCGGGCTGGGCTGCCGGCTATTGTGCTCAGCAAGTAACCTCAGTGTTTCAGCTTGTTCCAGCCATTGAGGTGCCGCTAGGCTTGCTCCAAAGGCCGGTCAGAAGGAAACAACCAAATCATTTTGGCACTTCCACAATTTGAAGCCAAACCCCATCCATATGGCCGTCGTGGGCTTTTCAAAATCCAAAGGGGATGTGTTCTCACCCTCCAAACCTTTTTTTTCAATCCTTCCCTGTTTTTTCAACCCTTCACCCTTTCTATTTAACCCTCCCCCCGCTGTTTTAAACCCTCCCCCCTTCTTTTTTAACCCTCCCCCCTTTCTTTCTGACCCTCCACCTCTTCCTTTTAACCCTCCATTTCTTTTTGGCCAACCCTGTGGCCGAAGTTTGCGGCAACTGCACTAAGCAACGGTTTAGGGTTGGGTTGGTTTAGGAGTGGTTTTGGATTTAGGGTTGGTTTGGGGTGGGTTCGGGCGGGGGGGGTAGGTGGGTTTAGGGTTGGTTTTGGGTTGGTTTTGGATGGGAAGGGTGGATCTACGGTTTTGTTTAGGGTCGGTTTTGTGTTGGTTTAGGCTGGGCAACCTCGCATTTAAGGCTAGTTTAGGGTGGGATTAGGGTTTGTGTAGGAAGGGTTCAGAGGCGGGGTAGGGTTTGTTGAGGGTGGGTCTTAGGGTTTGGGATGGAAGGGCAAGTTTGTGGTCGGTTTAAGTTTAAGGTTGGTTTCGAGCAGGTCTGTGCTGGGTATATGGTGGGTTTAAAGTTGGATGAGGGTGGGTTTTGGGTGGGCTTGGGGAATGGGTCTACAGTTTAGGGTTGGTTTAGGATGGATTTAGGGTTGGTTAAGGGTGGGTTTAGAATGGGTTTAGGGTGAGGTCAGGCTTGGGATTAATGTTGGATTTGCATGGTGTTAGTTTTAGGGTGGGATTAGGGCGTGTGTCGAAAGGCTTCAGGGCGGATTTAGGGTGGATTTAGTGTTTGCTTAGAATCTGTTTGAGGTGGGTTTGGCTTCGGGTGTAGCGTTGGATTAGGTAGATTTAGAGCAGGATTTCGGTAGGTTTGGTTTAGGTGGTCTGGAGTAGGTCTGTGGTGGCTGTAGGGTTGGCTTAGGGTTGGTGTAGGGTTGGTTCAGGGCGGGTTTGCGGTTTGTCTATGTCTAGGGTGGCGTTGGGGTTGCGCTAGGGGAGGCTTGGGGTCGCTCAAGGGTGGCTTAGGGTTGATTTGGGGTGGCTTGATTTCAGGTGGGCTTAGGGTGTTTAAGGGTATGTTGTTCGTTTGTTTTGGGTTGGATGCAGGTTGGTTCAGGGTTGGTCTGGGATGGTTTAGGGTGGGGTGTGGGGTTGGTTTAGGCTTGGCTTCACTGGATTTAGGGTTGGGTCAAGCTCAGCTTCGAGTCTCAGTTCATGGTTGGTACAGGGTGGGCTTATGGTTGGTTTAAAGTTGCTTTGGAGCGGCTCAGGGTTGGTTAGGGTTGGTCTCGGGCTGGCCTAGGTTGGTTTTGAGTTTAGTGTGGGTTTAGCGTCGTTAAGGTGGGGATTTAGGGTTGTTTTTGGGTGAGTTTAGGGTGAAGGCAAGGTTGGTTTAGGGTTGGTTTTTGCTGGGCTGGAGTTTAAGGTTGGTTTTCGGGGTGGTTCGTGATTGGTTAAAGCTGGGTTTAGAGTGGGTTTAGGATTGGGTTAGGATTGGCTCAGGGTCGTTTTCGGGTTGAGGGTTGGTTTTGGGTCGGTGGGTCTGTTCAGGGTTGGTTTAGGTTGGGCTTAGGGTTGCATTAAGGCTAGACTAGGGTGGGATTGGGGTTTGGGCGGGTTTAGGGTGGGTTTATTGTTGGCTTAGGCTAAGCTTAAGGTGTGGGGTGGGATTACGGTTGGATCAAGGTTTGGGTGGGTTTAGAGTTCGTGTAGTGTGGGATTAAGGTGGGTGCAGGACTGGCTTGTTGGTTTAGGGTTGGTTTAGTTACTGAGGGTTGGCAAGGTTTGGCTTAGGGCGGGCCTAGGGTTGGTTTGGGTTGGGTTGGGTGCCGGGCGGGCTTAGGTTGTTTTAGGTTTAGGGTGAGAAAAACAAGGTTGCGGGGTGAAACAAGCAAGCTCGCAGGTGAAAAAAGCAAGGCGGAGGGTGAAACAAACAAGGCAAAGGGTGAAAACACAAGGTGAGGGGTTGAAAAGAAAGGATTTCTCAGGGTTGGAGAAACAAGGTTCTCGCCGACGGTTCCCAAGCAGGGTTTGAGGGTTGAAAAAAAAAAGAGGAAGGGTTAAAAAACAAGTTCAGAGGGTGAAAAAAAAGGGAGCCCAAATCCAAATCATACCCCCCAGTGAACATCCCAATCCAACCGCTAAAATAGCTTCTAACATGAGTGGTGCACCTACCCCAAAATGGGATCCCATGGGTTTTGACCCACAGCCATATCGATGACTGCCGATGCCTTTTCTTTGCCCAAGGGGCCCCAAAGCTCCACGATGAGGAACATCTCTACGGCTTTCCGCGCCTGCGCGTGCCATGTCACCTACTGCTGGCGCGCACCCTCTGCTCTGCGACCCTATGCCATTAGCACGGTATCTGTCTATGTTTTGAACTTGTGGACATTGAGTGAAGTTCAAGGACCGAAGAGCCTGACGAAACTTTGGCAATGCAATCAACGACAGCACAACACGGATCCGGACGTGCTCCTTTCTCATCTCAACTGCCTCTACACATCCCAGCCTCTTCTTGCCCGAGTGTGCACCCAAAATCAAAAATCTCTGCAACCCGTCCACTGCGCCTTTGGTCCAAAAGCCGCGTGCGCCAGGGCAGACCAGTCTGCAAAGGCACGAAAAGATTAGCTGGGCCACATGGCCATGGGTCAAAATCCAAATCGTACCCCAGCCATCCCAATCCAACCACTAAAATAGGCTCTAAAACGGTACCATTGGTTTTGACCCAGAGCCACATTGATGTGCTGAGACATCGCAAGTTTGTCATTTGGGGCCTCTCCGAGACTTTGGAAGCATGATTCACTTGAAGACTTGCCACACAAACACCGCCAGGCCTAATGTCGCCGCCCGCACACGCGAACCACTAGGTATGCATTGCCGGGCTGCCTGCATCGCAAGTCCAGACTCATCGAGAGAAACAGTCACAGAGAGCACTTTGCAGGGACACAAGCACAAATCAATCTGGATCCATCCCACTCAACAAATAAGCACGCAAACGCATGGCTGGCTTCCTTTCCGTTTCCCTTCAAACACCATCCCAAACAGGTCCCCATATTTTGACGCGCTCCGTGCCTCCGCCTGCATGGCCCACACCATGAGGTGAGCCGTGTATGCGGAGCAAATGACCTGAAAAGTGAGCCGCTGCGCGTGTGGTCGTTCGGTCATTGCCATTGTCTTCATGCCATCGCCGAGTCTGTGTAGTTTGTGGCTATTGGTTATCCCTATGTGGGACAGTCCGGCGAAAATGCGATCACAGGGGATCGGAGTCCTGGCGAGCCCGGTCAAAAGGCCTCAACAGCCGAGTGGCAAAAAGCAGCACCAATGGTGCCCCGATCAAACCAGCCTCAGCTTCCAGTTTGGCTTGAGGCGCGCTTTGACATGCAAGCCATCAAATTCTCGGCCAAGGTGGTTGCTTCGATGTGGCCGCTCCTATGCTGTTTCGTGGTGAGCCGAACCATCTGCAATGCGCAGAAGTGTGGAAAGCAGCCGAGGGCGGCGCTAGGGAAAAAGCATAGGGCATGGCCAGCAGGCCTCTGCTCCCATGTCTGGAGTTACGAGGACCACACAAGAAGCTTTTACCGTGTCAACTCCAAGTCTGGGTACCCCCTGTTATCTTGTGGTTTGAAAGGGAAACCAAAACGAAAACCGTCATTTTGGGGCGTGCCCTCAAAACAGACAGGCCTAAATCTAGCTGCAGAGCCTTTTCAGTTCCACGTGTCTCAGCAGCTTGCCTGTACCAACCAGGCAAGAGAAGACCGCAACCTCAGCGGACAACGGGTCAAGTCGAAGTGGAAGCGGTGCATATTTCAGCACTCAGCCGCGTCACGACATAGCAGTCTTTCAGCCCAAGCACATTGTTTTTCCGTAGAGGGCACTTCAGGCAAGCTACATGCTTGCAAAAGGTATCCAAACCTTCGGAGTTGTTGCAAACTGCCAGTCTCAGTCTGCGAGTTGACTCTCTTGGCCATAGGCTGTGGTGTCCCAAACGCTGAGATCCTCAGATGGCGCCAACAGCTTCACTCGCACGCCTCTTCAGTCGACTGTTTCAATGGTACAAAGCAGCACGTGGCGGGTAACGGTCATGCCTCTCTGTTTGCCAGCTCAAGAAGACGCACAAGACACCAGCCGCAGTCAAAATGTGCTTTTTTGTTTGCAATGACCCTGGGGAAAGTGGACTGGAAGGTGCTAGGTGCTTGTCTGCCTAAGCCGCGCCTCAGTGTACTTGGCAGGCTCTGCAGACTGAGCCTCAGCGGCCTGCCGCAGCAGCGAGAGGCTGCCTGCATCGCGCCGATGGTCCCAAGGCGAAAGCTTCTTCTGTTGACAACCGGGCTGTCCGTTTTCAGACATTCCTGCTAACAGTGCTTAACTTGTGAAGTTCAATTCGGAAACCCAACCCACTCAACCAGAAACAACAAACCAAAGTTGAACCGGAGGAATTGCTGGTCGAACCAAGCAGAGAGATCGATGGATCCTCCTTGGCGATGGAACCCCGCCTGCCGTGCTGGAGCCTGTGAGCTTCCAGCGCCTCAAAACGCGAAGTCCGAGGCCGAACCGCTCGAACCGCTCGCCCCGGTTTGGTCAGCGTACCATTTGTCTCTCGGCAAAAGGCGCTTCGCCCTCAAAAGATCAGGGGGGGTTTTATTGCTGGCCAGTCACCTTTTGGTGGGTGGTAGTGGGTCCTGCCAGAAAACTGGAGGAGTAAAACGGCTTGGGAGGAAGCCGCTGGTCCTCATTAAGTCTAAAAAAGGTGCCAATGGATGCGAACGTCTCTAAGCAGCTGCACGTCTCGAGCTCCAGCAGGCGGCCTCAGGCACCGCACTCGGGGGGGATCCTTATCTGCGTGTCTGGAACTGGAAAGAGAAAGCCCACCACCACTAAAGCCACAAAAAAAAGGCTTCAAGTGGCTATGGGTCAAAGCCCCGTACCCCCAGTAAACATCAACGGTGAATTCACCTACCAACCAAAATGGGATCCCAAAATGGTGTTGACCCACGGCCAAGTCTTGTTCTTGCGCGTGAGGGGGGAACCCGTTTGATGGTTGACCGGTAGGGCCAGCTCGAGGCCGTGGCTGATCTTTCCAGGTTGGCTCCTGGCACTCACCCCTCTCCAAGAAAAATATTCCCATGGTGAACATCAAAATAGGTGGCAAATGGATGTTCATCCACCCCAACGTGGAGCCATAGGTTATGCCCCATGGCCATGAAACTACAACGCGCCCCATAGGCGTTTAGCGGTTTTCCGTTGGTTTTAACCCACAAGTCGGACAGTTTCAGCAGGGGATCAGAAAACGGACAGCCCAGTTTTCAACACAAGGAGACAGGTTCTTTGGCCACGAAGCGAGCATGAGTGGAAACAAGTTGCCCGTCCCTGGCTTTCCTGCTGCAAAGTGATGCACGTCAAGCAATCAAAGAGACTCATTCGCAACTATTTGGTACCCTGACTTCCGTGAGAACAGCTTCTATGGTGACTGGTTTCAGTCTCACCTCTGAATCGTGAATGCAAAACGGCCGCAAACTCCTTGCCTCTTATTTGCAGTGATGATGCTTGTCACCATGATTCCAAGCAGCCTGAGCGTCTCAGAGAAACCAAGGCACATGCTGTGAGCGCATGTGACTGCCCGTTCGCAAGTATCGGAATCATCACGCAGGCCCCGGCCCTGCTACGCAAATCACGGTCCACTCGTTCCAGCGGTCCTCCATGTCCGACCTGGATTGAGCGCAGGCATGGAAGAGATGACTAAAAAAACAAAAACAGAAGAGTCACAATCAAAACCCGGTACTGAAATGGTCTACCCACAACCATGTAAGGAATTAAGAAGGCGGCCGCAGCTATTTATGGTCTTCATGTACCCGGGTTTTGATTGTGGCTCAGAAGGCGTGGCCAGGATCAGCTACCAAAATTGCTCAGTGCTTCAGCACATGGGGGTTGATCAACATTCCCTGAAAGGCCCCCCAGTTTTGACCATGGGTACCCTTTCCCATGTGGTTGAAAAATATCAGATATCTTTTTCTCGTGGTCATCCCATGTCCATCATTTAGGACCTTTTTGATGCCACCCCCCCCCCCCGGCATCTCTCGCCCGAGCAGTTCGATCGAGTCGTTCCAGGCGCAGGGCTCCACATTCGCCTCGCGGGGCCCTTTGGACATGGCCACGTGCCGCGCCGGGAAGGCCTCGGAGGAAGCACCGCCAAAGGCTGTGGTCAACACCCTTTTGGTATCCCACTTTGGTTGGGATTGGTGAATTCACCACCCATTTTAGAACCCATTTTAGTGGTTGGGGTGTTTGATGTTCACTGGGGCTAACCGATTTCACTGGGGGCTAACCGATTTGGATTTTGACCACCACGGCCGTTAAATGCTGTGCTCGGGCTGCTCGGGCGGCGAGGCGCGGACGTGGGAAGGACCGCCTTCCTTCGCCAACACGTCTCTTGGCCTGGGAATCGAAAGGGCTGGGGCTGTGCTCTTTTTTGAGGGACCCGTTTTTGCGGTGTTTACAGGGAAAACAAGGGAAAAAACCGGAATTTTCGGGGGTCCCCCAAGACCCCAAACACCCGACCAAAGCCCCCAGGGCTTGAAATGGCCCAAAAAAGGGGGGCGCCAGTTTCCCGCGGATCAAGAGCCTTGTGCCAGGCCTGGGAACGAGAGCTTCGCAGATCCCAAGGGATCGACTCAGAGGGTTGGCATTTGGAAAACAGGCTGCACGTTGGCGGATCAGGACTTTGCCGTAGATCCCCCCAGAAAAACGCTTCAGGCCGGCAGGAAGCCCTTCTCGAAAACCTGGCGGCCCAAACCCATGAAGAATCAACGGGGCGGAAAACCCACGTGTAAATTCATGCTTGGGCCTGTCCCCATAGCCTACCTTTCTCATTGGCTTGCCAAATTGCCAGGCGCCTGTTTGCAAGACTGGGTCCTGCAGCTCGACTACTCGATCTTCTTGTTCTGCCTTGGGCGCGCAGATAACTCACGACTCCGTCACAAGCTCTGACAACTGACATGGGAGAGTAGGGGTGGTCCTGGCCACTGCGTGATGGTGGTCGCTGCTTGGCTGCCTTTTTCAAGTATGGTAAGAGTCTTACATGTATAATCTGATGTAACAAGTATTTGCAGTGAGAAGCAACAATTGTTGCAAGCTGTGGGCCGCAAAAGGTATTCAACATCCGCCTGGATTTGTCGAGTGCCGGTCATTCAGTTGGACATCTCCGTCTTTTCCTGCTTTGTGCAGGGATTACCCGGCAAGGCTGCCACTCTTCGCAGGTGAATGGATCGCATGATTGCAAAGCTGCGCCCTATGCCTGAAGCGGGCTTGACACCAAGATCCAAGTGAGCAGCGACCAAAACCCAAAACCTATTGACTTTTGGCTCTACTAAAGTTGGGTAACTAGTAGCACCACCTAATATGGGCCAATGGGGCTTATTGGCCAGGAGCACGGAGCAATCAACGGGTCGGAGTTTTGTCGGTTCACTTTGGTGCGACTCTGCTCGGAAAATTCGTGGAGCGTTGACGGAGGAAGAATGCCGGACAGACTGAGCCAAGGCACCCGTCAATCTTTGCCTGGGAGCGGTTGTGGATGACACCGTAGCCTGGGCTGAGAAAAAAAGGTCTTGAGAGAGGATCAACGTCCCACGCCAGGCTTCTTTGATGCTTTGCATCTAGAGATTGGCATAAATCCAGGTCGGCTGGATGGCAAGTGAAAACGCATGTCGCTGTGACAACGAACATCTTGTGCAATAAGGCAGGGCACTGCTTGCAGAACTCCGGTCCAGGTACTGAGGCAGCCACTCTCCTCGGAAACCCATCGATGTTGCCAAACGATTCAACGAACTGAGCATGCAACTCGATCTACATTGCCATTTGTTTCCTGTTAGCTGACTAGGTTAAGCCAATTGCAGCTGCGTCACTCCGAAACCAGTCCTCGGCTTTTTTTGTACCAGAACTAACGGCGAGCTTTTCGGGGGAGTTGCATTTTATTGTTGGGCTCCAACAAAATTGCCACTTGAGGTCCAGAAAAGCTGGACATGGAGGGACTGGCCGAGCTTGCCGCTAAGCTACAATCGAATCGTCCCAGCCCTCCCGGAATCCGATGATTGGTTCGTAGCCAAGGTCCTGAGGGCCAACACATCAGCAAGGAAAAGGTCACTGCATGGCCGCATGGCAGTGCAGTCCTTTTTGGCCCTGTCGCAACCTCGAATGAACAGGGCATTTTTATCTCAAACTCACATAGAAGGCCTTGACACTGCGGAATCGGAAACCAATCACATTGTTGCAAAATGGGAGTATCAGAAAGCAAGCACAAAGACCTTCGGCTGCATGATTTCAGCTGCTGAATCTGGGGAGCCGGCGGAACCAGCGATGCATCACCAACATCTTCACACTGAAGGGGCTCAACTTCCTTAGGACGGGACGCACTGCCTTTTCGCTTGCGACAAGACTCAGAATTCCATCCTTCTCGGTGCAAGACCAACACAACTCCTCTCACCTGCAGCCGAGTCTCAGCTTCCTTCCCAGGAAGAATCCAACCATGTTGCACACGTAGGCAACAAAGTACATGAAAAACTGCAGCAAGCAACGCTCCAGCTTTGGTTCCGCGCGTTACGCATAACATGTTTTGCAATATTGGCATTCATCATGAATGTTGCGACGGGCCTGCGGGAGGTGCATTTTCCTTAGACATGCCAAGAGGGCCCGCTTCAAAACCGGCGGCAAGCCAGCAAAGCTAGCAGTCCAAGCAGCTGAGTGATGGATGGCAAGCCCAACCCCACGGCAAAACCTCACGTTTCAGGGTCTCGCCGGCGGAAGCTGTGACGAGTTTTATGCGCAATGCAAGTAGGGACAACCCTGGATACACTAGCCATGTGGAGAGGACCCCCATCTCGCGATTCACCTCCCTGCGAGCTGCTCAGTTTGCATGCAAGACACGATCCATTTCCTCCCAAAGAATTGCATAGCCCTCTGAATGAGGATGAGTGTCCTTGGCACCAGGCACCTACTTAGCTTCAGCCGGATCGGTCAGCTTGGCCACAATAGCGTCAACAAATTCAGGGAGCTGCGTGGTAATGCCACGCAGACATGCCCGGAACCACTTCCAAATAACACTGCGGTCCTGTCAGCCTAAAAAATCCACCAGCTGGTTGAAGCACTTCCATCGGATGACTTGGTCCGCCTCCCCGGGTCTCTTTTCGCTACTTTTCTTTCGAGGCGCCCCGTCGGTGCAGATGTAGAAGCCGCCGAGTGCCGGGCTGCCCTGGCCGTCGCGCGCTCGGCTTCACCCGGATTTGTCTCCTGTGAAACATGCACAACACGCAAGCTTCTAGAGCTTGCCGTCGGCAACTAGAAGTTCGTCTGTGACCTATTTGTCCTTGTGCGCATGCCTGGTACCACAACAAATGACAAAATCAAATTGTGCTTGTCACAACAACAGTGTTGGCTGAGGGCTCGAGCATGCTCGAGCAGCATGCGAAATTCCGGATGACACGGTTGTCATGTTCGCATGCACACACTGGCAGCAGCAACGCAATCAACAGAATGGAAAAACATCATACTGGGTCGCTCAATCTCATCCCACAATCCCATGAAACACATTATTACCAGTAGGTGACATAGGTGATACGAAGCATGTGAGAAGCAAATCTCTTCTGCAAACCCGTTTGAGCGCAAATGCCCTTTCTTTGAATGACGTTCACCACCGCTCACCTGAATACAGGGCAAATGGGGAGTCGGCCATGTAAAGAACTAGACTAAACGGGCGGCCGCGCCTATCTATGGTTGGAACTGTCAACGACCCTGCACATGTGCACTATGCACAAAGGCGCGGGTCAATGCTTGATTGATGTGTGGTTGGAGTCATTTCCTTGTGCCAACCTGTCCAGACAGTAAGCGATGCTTGACAACACTTTGAGAGACCATAAGGTTGCAAGCTGAACTAGATAAATACCTGACAATACTGTGGATGGACACAATCCGTTCGCACCACTTGGAAACCATGAGAAACCATTTTTCATGGGTATTTACAAAGGAATCATCATGTCAGAGTTGCTTTGGTGGTGCAGAATTTTGTCCATCCACAGTACTACCACCATAAACTGAGTTTGGGGCCTACCCACACTCTGTACCCATGAACCTGCAAAACGGACCTGGAAACCACCCAAAACCGAAAAACACACCCTAGTGATAGCACGCCCGTTGCTCAAATCCGACACCACGTCTCGCCCAGCGAGAGCTCACCTTGTACAGCGCCCTCTCGCCCAGGATCAGGCCGTGGCAGTAGTTGTCCACGTAAGTGAAGCAAACGCGATTCAGGCCTAAGAAATATCGCGATGGCCGAAGCGTTCAGTTGTCCAACAAATCACAAACCGTTTGCCGAAGCGATTCTCAGTGAAGCATGGGCCGAACCAATCACCACCGCGTCGGCGGCCTTCTTTGCCCGATGGTTGCGTCCCCTGAAAAGACTCTAACCGTTCGACTCGAACCCCAGGGTGGTTCATGTATTGTAAGGGATGCCTGGGTTGAAGTCGTTTCAGGCGCCAGAAACTGCAAACTGCCAAGGGCATTTGCTGAGGCGCCATTGCCGAAGACTCGTAGCTTGCCTGCATAGGACTGGAAAAGGACCGGCGGGCATTGATACCTCAACACTCTTCAAGAAGCTGTGTGCCTCAGCAGATTGCTCCCTTGGCGGACAATGGCCCTCGCTAGCCTTGCTCTCCTTTTCAGGGGTCTAGATGCCTTGTCGAGGCCCTGGACGAAACAAATTGAATGCCAAGCAGTGGCCTGTAGCAGCGCTCTCCATGAAATTGGGCAGGTAGAGAGTGTCACGAGGTCCATAAACCTGCGTTTGACCAGTGCCAAAATTTTATCTCCAAGCGCACGGACCGTATGGGAAGCGCCAGTCGATCGCTCGAAACCAGCCTTCACCAGACCCTGCCTGATGCGGGGCAATTGCCACGGTGAGCAGCTCATCACAGCAGGCATTGGTGATGACCAGCTCGCCTGTCGATCCAAATTTCATGCCAAAGCTCTGGAAGTACCGAGCTCCGCAAAAAAAAAAGAAAGCAAGCTTCGAGAAGCCCGCCTTTGGCTTTGGTCTCGGCATACTCCTGCAAATAGGACTTCCTGACTGCGAAAGCGGGCGAATTGCCATGCCTAGTGCGATCGCTTTTTTCAGTCACTGTTGCTGGTTTTTGGGGTAAAGTGCATGGAAAAAAGCGATTGCAACTGGCGATCCAGGTGCCATCACTTCCTTCATGGCACGTCACATGCCATGCCGGGCGTCTGCGGCAGCTTCGGCAGCTCCAATTCACTGAGCCTCGATTCGATGTGAAGGTCCAAAGACATCTGGTGGGTCAAAATAGGCACCCTAATTGAGACCCCAGTGGAACCAAGGACTCAAACGGTCCATATCCTGGTGGCTTAATTTTGACCCATGCCTATCTTGGTTCAAAGGATTTTCTCCATCCGGTTCCCCGAGTCCGAGTCCGCCGGCCGATCGGACCCGAGCCGAGGCCCGCGCCCGTCGATGTCGCTGCCGTCGAAGCGCGTGCTGGGGGAGGAGGACATCACCAGCTTCGGGACGCGGGCGGCCAGGCACGCCTCCGGGAGGCGTGAAGCGGCAAAAAATGCTCTGCCCCCAAAACGAGCGGAACCCTTTCGGCATAAATCGGGATGCGTGGGAGCTGAAGAAAAGGATGTCGTGTTCTTTTTGGGCCGCATGGGCAAAAAAAAAGAGAGGAGCAAAGAGCATGAAGAAATGATGCCGGGTGAAGGACACCTGGCAGTGCAGTTGAACCTTACGCGTCAAAACGCCTCGACCACGTTGCGGCAGCCCCCGACGTTCACATCTTCGTAGAGCCAGCTGGGATGGAAGGGGCCCACAGCGGCACCCACCTGCGGGTGTCCGTGCCCGTTTTTTTTGGTTGTTTCAAGGGGAAGCCCAAAAGGAAAACCAGCAATTTTGGGAGTAGTTCTAAAAAATTGCACCCATTTGGCTGCAAAGCGGAACGTGAACCCTTCATCTCAATCTAGCAACCCTTCCAAGTAAGACTGTTGCGTGAGCATTGTCTAGCTCCACAAACTACAAAGGATCAAGAAACCCGACTTCATCCATCTCAGAAGCATCCATGGTAATTCTGAGCCCAGGTGCATGCCAGACACAGTCTGCACCCTCCACTGCATGGCACACATCCTGCTTGCTGCGCAAGTCGCCTTGCATGTAAACCTCAGTAGCCAATGCTGAAGCAGGTCAGCTGGCTAAACAAGGCTGTTACGGTGCTCCGCAATCACAAGATGACGTGTGTGCTCAGGCTCTCGCGATACGAGAGTCCTGCCGAATAAGAGACAGAGACAGAGAGAGAGAGAGAGAGAGAGAGAGAGAGAGACACACGCGCGCGCACACACACACACTCACAGCACCACACCCAGAGACAGACACACAAACGAACTAACGGACGAACGGAGCAAGAAAGAAATAAAGAAAGAAAGAAAGAAAGAAAGAAAAGAAAGAAAGAAAGAAAGAAAGAAAGAAAGAAAGAAAGCAAGTAAGGAAGAAAGGAAGAAAGAAAGGAAGAAAGAAAGGAAGAAAGGAAGGAAGAAAGGAAGGAATAAATGAAAAGGGAAGAAAGGTAGAAATCACAAGGAAAGAAAGATCAAAAGGAAAGAAATATCAAAGAAATAAATTAAAAGGAGAGAAAGGAAGAAAGGAAGGAGAGAAAGGAAGGAAGGAAGAAAGAAAGGAAGGAAGAAAGAAAGAAAGAAAGAAAGAAAGAAAGAAAGAAAGAAAGAAAGAAACAAACAAGCTGACAAAGAAGCAAATAAACAAACCACACCTAGCTACGTCAGGCCAACCAAGCAAACAAACAAGTTCACAAACTCACTCCCTCACTCACTCGCTCGCTCGCTCGCTCGCTGCCTGACTGACTGGCTGGCTGGCTGGCTGCCTGCCTGACTGATTGACTGACTGGTTGGCTGGCTGGCTGACTGGCTGGCTGACTGGCTGGCTGACTGGCTGGCTGACTGACTGACTGACTAACACGCGCGTCAAGGAAGTAGCCAACTGTCTGACCAATGACTAATTAGATAGACAAGTTGGGCGGGCGGGGCAGGGCGCGGGGCGGGGCGCGGGGCGGGGCGCGGGGCGGCGAGGCGGGGCCAGCCAGGCGGCCGGCGCGGCGGGCTGGCAGGTACAAACGAACAAACTGACAGACTAACCAGCAGGCTAACTAATTAATTAGAATGCTCTCACTAAACTAAACGAGTTTACGCTAAAAAAGCAAGCAAAACAAACCAGAACAAAAAACAGAACAAACCAAAATCAAGCAAACCGAAACCAAACAAGTTCAAGCAACACAACACAAAAACAAGCCTAGTATGCCTTTGCGGGCTTTGGTTCCACCGCCTGGCTATATACTCTGCATCCTACGATCTCGGGATCTCTCCACCCAAATGCTCCTGCCAAGCACTGGGCGGTTGCGGCAGAATGTCGAAAGACACAACTCGCTGGGCCCCTCGTTCCACCAGCATCTCAACCTCAGGAATCGGCTGTTTCAGGTCATGGTCCTTTAGTTTTTCTTGGCGCAGGTATTCCCAAGAACTGCCTGGAGGACGACATGATGTTCCCGCTGTCCCATTCTTTTCTGGGTGTGGGTCAAATTAACCCCCCCGGATGTGGACCACTGATGTTTCAGTTTTGCTTCCATTTATCAGGGCTTGCGCCGTTTTGGGGATACCTCAACTATTTTTGGACGCCCTCACCCGTGTTTTGTCTCATTTGATCATCTCGAATCAACCTGAAAGGGTTCCGTGTAGAGGCTTAAATTCGGAAACCCAACCACGAAACCAACTAGAAAGACCTAAAACACCAAGTTGAACCGGCTGGCTGGGCTCACCAAGACATGGATCCTTGCTTGAAATGGCCGGGGCAACCGAGTTCTTTGGCTTCCCCTATGAAGATCCGACCGGTGACCCGTGAGACCCGTCAGTGACGGGTCTGACCGATGCCCGGTGCCCTGGGCATCCCGCCAAGCGCTGCCCCACGAAGCCGCTGCCGCCGGTGACCACGCACTTGGCAGGCACAGGCCTGCGTTGAGAGAGAGGCGACTCTGCCAACCGAAGGCATGGGCATGTGACAAATGGGGGGTTCTCCAAAAAAAGCTTCTGAAAAAGAGGTGTTTTAGACGGGCACCAAAAACGAAAAGACCTGGCACCTCCGAAAAAAGCTTCTTGGATGGTGTTTTAGACGGGCACCAAAAGGAAAAGACCTGGCACCAAAAGGGAAAGAGTCCGCAAGTTTGAGAAACACCCAAATGTTTGATGAGAATGGAATCATGGAGTCCACAAATTGGACAAATGCCAGGCTGAGCACAAGCAAATAGCACACCGAGACAAGGCACTCCCAATAGGTGTTCCTTGCCGGTCATTTCTGGACCGAACGCTGGCAATGGAAAGGCCAAGGTGTTTTTTGACTCCCAAATACACCCACTGCCATCGGTCCGAAAGCAGCAGAAATGCACAAATAAGCTTTGAGGAAAGTGACTCTTGGTGAGATGACAGGTACGGTGAACCTTGTGAGGGAACTGCCGCTTGAAACCTATGACCATTCAAACCAACACCTATTCCTGATGAGTATCCGCTTCATCACCCGGATTTGCTATGGCGTGCGTCGAGTCCTGTACTCTACCAGTGATATGTCCCTTTGCCGCACCCTGCTTTACCCTGGACTGCTGGGCTAGCGACTCAAGCCCCTGGTTTCTCTGGCTCAAACATGCATGTCTCACTCGTGACCGCGAGTGCTATGGCTGGCTCAGCGCGTCTCTTTTTGCCTTTTTGCTTGGCTTTTCAGGGCAGCCAACAAACAAACACCATTATGGTTGCTTCCCTAAAAAATGTGCGGTCACCCCTACTGTTCGTCACCATCCCAAGAGTGGCTCGCGGCCCGCGACTCGCGTCCAAGCCGCGAGTAGCTCCGCTCCGCCGCGCGGCGCTGCAGCGCCGTGAGCGCCGGCGCCGTGCGGGCCATGGCGGGGGTTCTTGGGGATGGGAACCGAAGCGGGTCTCCGAAACAAGGATGGAGGGGAGGAGCGGAAGGATGAGATGGGATGAGAAGAGGGATGAGATGGGATGCAAAAAGGAGAGAGGATGGGGTGAGCCAATGGGGCGGGATGGGATATGAGATGGGAGCGGAACGGGACCAAGGAAAAGGCACCTGCCTGCCGTGTTCTCTGTGTATCTCTCTCTCTCTCTTTCTCTTGGTTGCGCGTTCTGGTTGCGCTGACTCGGCTTACAAAGGCATGCCCGAGCCATGGAAAGGACATCCCATGGGGCGGATGTTCGCACGCGCCAAGGGCCGAGCGTCAGGGAAGCAATGCCCAAGGCCAGGTGCTGCCAGTCCGTCATCGACACCTTCGATGTGATCTGAACGCTGGAAAGCGAAGCATCTTTTTCCCCCAAACCGTGTGAATAGGAGGGCTTAACGGCGACTTTAAAGCATTGGCTTCGAAGTGTAAAGCATGGTGTCTAGATCGTTGTGCCACAGGTAACTCATTTTGACGGCGCAGGGTGCGCGAAAGTTTTGTCCGGAATCTTCAATTTTGATTTCCACTGCGCGGGCTCGCGCGGAACGGCCCGGGCGCACGGGTGTTCTTCGAGTGCGCTCCCACCCCGGTGCCGTCAAAATTCGGAAATGGCATAAGGGTGGATTGGCGCACCGTCTACGGACCTTGAACGCGTTGGACCGCTCTTGCCACGGCGCGGTGCAATTCTCAACAGCAAAATGAACGCGCTGGGGATTTTGAATCGCAGTGTGACGAGGCGCGCCTGACATACATCGAAGGCGCAGGACCTGCAAAGATTTTCTTGCAAGCGATCTCGCAGAAGGTGCTCCCTACAGATCTCCAACAGAGAACTTGTAGAGGGTCTGACGGATCCTGCGCGGATCCCGAGAGATCTGCCGAGATCCCACCTACGGAGCTTGCGCAGAGACCCTGCAACGAGACACAGACGCGCAGGTCCTTCACAGATCTTGCCTAGAGATCCTATCCAGAGATCTTGCGCAGAGATCCTGCAAAAATCCTTCCACAAAAGTATTGCCCAGGACTTTCTACAGAAACAGTTGCAGAATTTATCAGAGAAATCTTGCGCGGAACCTCCTTCAATGGGAGATCTGCTATAGGAGATTCAGAGGGCTTCTGTTCGAAGAGGACGTTCAAAACAATTGTTGAGACTCTTTGTGGTCATTTCATAAAACAAAAACAAAAACTGTGCACCAGGAAGTGAGCATCCGCTGCGATTACCTTTCATGTCACCTGCGTGAATTCATGTCTCAAGTTGTCTAATCATGTTGGCCAGAGTGTGTGTGGTCACTAGCCGGCATAAATTCTGTAGGAAACCAAAGTTTAGAAACCCAACCAACCCATTGGCTGACCCACCCCAGCCTCGGCAGCTCCAGCCTCGCTCAGCAGCGTCCTTAGACCTCTAGCCGCCGTGGAGTTGCCGAAGCGCTTCTGCACCAAGTCCTGAGGCAGAGGACTGTTCTACACGCCGTTTTCCCAAGGAAGGGTGGCCATCTGCTCGCCTCCGCCACCAGTTGCCATGCAGAATGACGCTTCACCTTGCCACTCACACTGCTGGCCCCGCAACATGGCCGCGGGGCAAAAAAAAAAACAGCTCCCGTGCCTGAGATATCACCTCTTTCTTGATGCTCATGCCGTCCTGCATGAACACCTTGGCAACGGCGCATGGATTCGCGTGGATTTCGAAAGCGCGGCCCGAGGGTCGACCAACCGGTTTACAGACGTTCGAGGGCCATGCAGCTTTGTCATCAAGCTTCTGATCCTGCACATCAGTCAAGCTCATGTAGGCAGGCGCGCGAACTTGAGTTTGACGCTGGCGAAATACAACGGCACGCGCCGAAATAGGAACATCCATCCTCGGCAATAGTCTCCAGTGCAGCTGCTATTGAGCCTGAGACGCAAGAAAGCGAGCTGCAAGGGAGGTTGCCAACCCATCATCACCAGCCCGGCCAGAATATTCCAAATTGCCAGGAAAACCTTACGCTCTAAAACAAACTTGACAAAACAGCCCCTACACTTTCCCTCGCCAGTCCATCCGAAAGGCCTTGCACGTCTGGATCTAGCAGCTCCTCTTCGGCCTCGGTGCGTTCGGAATCACCGCCTGCCAAAGCCGGACGCCGGCCGCGCCAAGCGCAGCGCCGAAAGAGCTTCCAAGGGCTCCAGCCTGAATCTCTGGTTGCATGCAAACACGAGCTTCTACATCGGGCTCCATGAACCAAGGAAACCGCTGGGACAAACAGAGCCGAAACCGAACCTCCGAAAGTTTCGGAGAAAGCTTCCGCCTATGTTTTAGCGCGCCGCGATGCTCCACCTGCCAGAGGGCATCCACACAAATCTCGAGGTTCGCCCGACTGCGAAGAATCTTCAACCAACACGATGTCAATTCCGCTTGGGCTACAAAAGACTCTCACATACTCGCTGGTGCCATGGCATTCCCCGCCTGCACGGAGGAGACTCGCAGGTGAGACAAGCCCGCGAGCCTCGGGTTTGCCCGGCTCTAAGACCCGAAGGGCCGGGAATACTTGGGCGTGTGGGGCAAGTCATCCTTTTGGTTTGCCTGACGGTCATCCCATTCCCATGTTCGGATTTGATCAACCCCCACTTGGCCAGAAATGGATGGATGTGTGTTTTGGCTTGAGCTCTGAGTTCCTCGCAGGGCAAGGCTGCGCATGGAGCTGGCGGCCTCAAGCGATGCGTTCGAACGCATCGCTTGCGGTGGGCGTTTTCGGCACTCGATGACAGCGCCGCTCAGAGAACAATGGCCCCGAAAGAGCAAGTGACGAATCCAAAGCATCGGTTGAAGTTCCTGACTTCACATCACTCGATCCGGAGCAAATTGAGGCTGATAGCACCTGTTCGCCGGTATCTGTGCGCGTGGCCCTTTCGGGAGCTGAAACCGATGCCAAAGGGCGGGTGGTTCCTGTCAGAACAGTGTCCGCTCCCTCCGGTTTCGCGAGATAGCCAGCACCGCATCTTTCGGTCTTTCGGTCTTCTTGTCTTTTTGTCTTTCAGTCTTTAAGCCTGCCTGTAGGTTTTCAGGTGCCACCCTCTATATGGAATACGAAGGTTCAATACCCTTCATGAGCAGAAAACTGCGGAGCCGCGAGTCCCTCTCTGTGGCCCTGACCGGTCAGATCGCCAGAAGCAAAAGCAAGAGCCCCAAACGCAAAGAGTCATAATCAAACCCAATCGGTATTAAACTGGTCGTAATCCCAGAACCAGGCTTCAAGAATTGAACAAACAAATATCTGCACCCATGTATGTCAAGGGGGTGTCCTTTACTACCCTCCAGATACCCGGGTTTTGATTGTGACTCAAATCGCATTTTGCCGCCTGCAGCTAAGGCGCTAGCGGCATCTAACGGCTCTAAGCTGCCGGGGGTGGGGTGACTGTCTCAGTGATTGTCCCGCCGCTCAAGGCCGGACCAGCACCGAGGCTCGGAATGGTTTTGCAGGCCTGATTCAAGCTCATCGCTGCATCTTTGGATAGGTGGAAATTCTTCTACTTTTCTGTGCATCGCGAAAGTGCACAAGAATCGCAGTCACCCCACTTAACCGGTCAACTGGGCATTGGAGTCCAATGCACCGAGAATCTGTCACTAACTCGCGGCCATGAAAGAACCTCCATACCCACGACGGCGACTGCGCCACCCCTCAGGCGTCAGTCCAGGGTCGGAATCTCAGGCGGCCGACCGCGACACGGCCACATCTGCAGTGAACTGCCTATCACCTGCTCAGGACCTACCCTCCCTCAAGCTAACAGCCGGAAGCTCCCAGAAGGCCTATGCAAATGGGACAACAGGTCCTGGGGAGCTTCCATGTTAGTCTGGGGGAGGGTAGTTCTTTGGACCGATACCCCATGTCCCAACCTAGCTGCATCCCTCCCTCCCCCCGGCGTGTCGGGCTCTGAACACTGAGGCTGCGGCTCCTTCGCTGGACGAAGCGATCGAAGCAACGGAAGCCTCGAGCCGCTTGGATGGGCTCCGGCAAGAAACTGCGCAGCTTTCCTCCAGTGGGTTTGGAGCCCGGCGGTTTGGTTCAGGCGGGCTTTCGAAATGAACCTTCTGCCAGCACCAGGGGTTCAGAGCCCCAATTCAAACCACCAAGGGTATGCGTGCTTGTCAGCTTGAGAGCGGCTTTCACGCCAAGCTTCCGGCGTGTCTCTTCAACTCCTGAACATGCACCATGTTGCAAAAAGCGATCTAGGCCTGCAGTGCTTTGTCAACGTAGGTATTGAGTGCCACAATCAATGCTCTGACGATTGCGACTTGAAACGGCTGTACCACTTCCGATGATCATATGGGCGATTGCAACAAGTTAAATTCATCATGCGCCTGCTACCTGCAGACATGCCACGAAGACTTGAAACATGCCAGCCCCGGCCTTTGTGGGGCGCCCATTTGGCTCGGGCTTGGACAAGCGCAAACGCTTCCTGAGCGCTGGCGCTGGCGCCGCCACCGCCACCAGACCAACAATGAACAACATATGAACGGCCAGCCCCAATCACTGCCACTTCTTCTGCTGTGGCCACCTGGATCGCCAGTTGCGATCGCTTTTTTCCACGCACTTTACCCCAAAAACCAGCAACAGTGACTGAAAAAAGCGATCGCATGCGATCGCAACTTGGCTATCTGGGCACTTTAAAAACAAATCCAGCTGGGCTGGGCCCAAGGGTCTGTGGCCACTCTCGGGTCTCGAATGATTCGCCTACGCCTCGCGCGCTCGTTCGGCCAAGCTCCGCGCTTCGCGGAGGAGCTCGCCGGGCTGCTCTCCCTGCCCTGTGATCATCACTCCCGGACAAAGCCACTGGCTGTGTGAGTCACTTGCTCAAAGCCGACTCGGTACAAAAATGGTTGACCCAGAACCATGCTTCAAGAACTCCCAAGACGGATATCCGCTGTTGTTGGCTGGGACTGCCCAGCAACTAATCTTCATCTACCCGAATCGGTTTTGAGCAAGTGGCTCATGTGGGTCTCGATCAGGGCGTGGGGTTCTGTGATACAACCGAAAGGGCTTCCCAAAGACTAACCCAAGGAAACAGATTCCCTTGTATCGCAGAAGTGGGGATAAGTTCCTTGACGCCCCTTGATCCCACAATATTGGAGTCTTGTGTAACGGGGTTTAAAGTACTTCGACATATTTGCGACCCGGGTCTTGACCCGAAGCTTCATGCCATGTCAGCCTCTCTGAAAAACAGCTTCTCTGGCTTTTCACCCTGCCTCCGAGCTGGAGACCTGAGCGCAATGTGTGGGTCGCGCTCCACCCAAAAGATCCCTAAGCCGCGTGAATCGGCTGAAACAGAATGAGGCAATGCCTCAAACCACAGGGAGAAGTTGAATGAAGCCCTCGGGCCAGCTGGCCATGGCAATGCCCCTGCCTGCAGCTGCTCGGACGGCGCGGCGAGCTCTGCCGCGACTATCCGCCTGACATGACTCGGCAAAGCGAAGCATGGCCGCCGTCCTCACATGGCACCTAGCAGAAGGGGTCCCTTTAAAACGCAGCCACATGCTACGTTGGAAGATGTCCTGCCAGCATGAACCGTTCGAACATGTTGCTGCATGGGTCACTAGCGGCTATCCTATTCATGTCCTCTCCAAAACGCTGGCACAACCAGCAAGGACTAAAAAAGACATGCTCTGGCCGCCTCATTGCCTCTACAGCGTCTGCTACCGGCTCCTTGCCGCGATGTGAAGCATGGCTGAACTGGCCACTCTGCAACACAAGATGTGTGCAAAGGCGAATCCCAACCCCATCACCCCTGGATACAACTCACTCAACTGCAACTCTACAACTCCCCTCCTCAGCGTCCTTGAGCGCTTGGTGCCGCGACTCGTAAATTTGGGAATCTGGTCGCCTGCAGATTGACCACAGGGTGACAGCCACGCAGGCGCGCTGAGGCGAGCACTTCACAAAGAACTGATTGGTGGACTTGTAGCCTTTGCCTCGCTGAAGCTCGTGGTATGGTTCCGAAAACACAAATGGCAGAAAGTACTCGAAACACCCAGACCTTAAAACCATACCTAGATAGCCAAGTTGCTGCCTTTCAGCCATTGTTGCTGGTTTTTGGGGTAAAGTGCATGGAAAAAAAGCAGCAACTGGCGATCCGGGTACTTTGCACAGGAGAGCGCCTGGACCCACAGAATCCAGGCTTTCAAATGTAGGGCCACTGCCTTTGACCATCCAACCCTTGGCAGGACCGTCAGTGATGTAGCGCACCTGGGTGAAAACACCAGTTCGAAGCTGAGCTGCTAGGCTCATTTAATTTTAGACCATGTGCCCTCACAGGCATCGAGTCCATGCAAGCATCTGCAAAAAGCCAAGGCATCTGCCTATCACCGCTGGAGTGAAAATTTATAGGGAATCTCTGGAGGAGACTCCCGTTGCATCGGAAAAAAGAGAACAAGGCGAACCAGCTCAGCTTGGCACAACCTCTGCGTTCCTCTTGGGTTGCTTGTTGCCTTAGCACGCAACCCTCAG